CTCAAAATCCACCTAGAGTTCAAGAAATAAATATGTTCTATTTACAGCACTCTATCCAGATAACAGATCAAGGGACTAATTTCTTCTAAGAATTTAGGTAATGCAGCTGTTGGTGGTAAGAAACATAATAAACTACCTAGATAATGCTACATATATGAAACAGTTTGCACAATAGCATAGAATTTTTTATTATAGCTTGACTATTTTTGCTGTCATACAACCTCAAAATAAAATAAATAAACCAGTAACCATACTGGCTCAACATTACTCCCATGAACTCTAATATTTCAAAAAAGAATAAATAGTATAGAAGCATGAGTCAATCACTACATCATAACTTGAATAAGCTCAGCATAGTAGCTTTAAACCATTAGAGCTCTTATTTGTTAAGATTTGTAAAGAATGGAATAAAAACTACTAATTAATCTCCTATAAAAGTTAGCTAAACTACAAAAATTACCAGTGATGAACATTAGTTGATTATCGTAATTCATTCATTGCTTTAAATTCTTTTGGGAAAGAAGAAATACACTCTCGAGAAATAATTAGCTCAAACTCCTTCAACTCATACCTGCATCTTAATCAAATTGGGAAGTTAGGTAGTGACACCTCATTATCTTCATTTTTATCAACATTTGTCAAAACATTTAACTTACTAAAAAACATGATGGAGGGAAGATATTTTCTCCTCTTTGGTCCCATATCAACATTAAGACCAACAAGCTCCCTTATTCAACTTTAATTTGTTATGCTCAATGGCAAGTCTTAAATTGGTTGGTTCAAGTTTTTCATGTTTGATTATTTGATCCAACGGATCATAAGGTTGGTAAGGGTGAGGGCTTATTGAAAAGTCAGAACCGTCTTCCCTTCAAATTCAACAAGAAATTCACCAAATATTCATAAAAAATTCACTCATAAATCAATAAAAAAAACCTTAACAATAGAGCTTAGCTAGCATAAGACTAGCAAACATAAACACAAGCCTAATGGATTACAAAATTATTTTTCGGACAGCTGGGAAGAAAAATTATGATGTGGGTAACATACCTAACCAGACAAAGATTGACATCTTGTTATGCAATATGCAATAGTTTTTAGCATCTTACGTTGACCTCATCAAAAGTTAATGTTACAACGAAGATGCCTTATATTTAAGGCCAACACCATACAAGATATTTCTCTGAAATGGAAATAATAATATGTAAGCATTTCCGGGTAGAGTTGCATCATATATCCAGCTCAAATAAGGGAACATATGATAACCTCCAAGATGCCACAAAACAAACTCTGAAAGTTTTGAATATAGAACTGACTTAGAAAACAAATTTCTTAATACAATTACACACAGCATAAAATGGGAAACAACTATGAACTTCAATTAATAAATTGTTAGGCCGGCCCAAGAGGGGCCAGCTGTTCCCATTGAACTGGTCCCTAGTGGACCGGTTTTCTACTATAGCCGTTGGCCCAGGGAAGGGAGAGAGAAGGGGCCGAATGCTCCTATGGGCCCACACCTTGATTAAAAATTGCTTTGGAGGGAAATATTTGAATTCGGGGTTGTTTAGGGATTTTGTATTTCTCATTTAAGTTTAATTAGTTGCTAATGCTAGAATTAGGGTTTCATCTTGAATTTGAATCTGAAATTTGAGATCTTCCTAGTGCTTGGGCTCTAGTCGCTTGGCTAGAGATTTGGAGAGTCGTTTCTTCCTCTCGAATTGAAGAAACTTGTATCGTTTGCTGTTTTTCTTCGTTTACTAGTAGAATCCATCATTTTTATCTCAGATTTCTACAGTTTTTCTCAAGTTGCTGCTGTCCTATTGCTGTTTTCCCTTTAGAAAACAGCAGATTTTCTATTGGAGGTGACTATTTCCTATCATAAATCAATTCTCTATGAAAGCATGAATTTATCTGTCATTAATGGCATTGCTAATAGTCCTCCAACATAACTAGAACAAAGGCATGCTTTCCACTATTTGCCTCTTAAACTCAGTGCCAACATAGTGTATGAGAAAAAATATACATATTATTACAATAACTGCACATCCACTAAACAGGACGAGGACCTAATTTCTTCTAAGACTTTAGGTGTTAAAAGTATTGGTAGCAAGAAAGAAAACAGAGTACCTACTTAAGCAATGAAAAACATCATAGAACTTTAGAATAGAGTTAATCTTATTGTCCTTCGTTTAGTTATACACTAAAGCAGCTAATTGACTAATCATCCTACCTCAATACCACTCCCAAGACAAAAAAATTGCATCATAAGCTCCCTCTAAGAATTTGAAAAGAGTAAATTTAAGTACATAAGCCTAGCTTTAATCTTGATTTCAGATCATAAAAATCTCAAGGCAGTAGTTTTACACCATTAGAACACTTCTTAAAATATATAAGGGGTGATAAAGTGGTATGAAAACAACTACTCTCCTACAAAAGGCACCTAACTACAAAAACTCCTAGAGATGAATATTAGTCGACCATTCTATCCTTGATTTAATATTCTAAGGATAAGAAGAAATACCTTCACAAAAGACAATAAATACTAATTAGATTATTACAGAAGTCATTAATGCTCTTACTTCAAATAAAGAGAAAAACATTAAGAACCTTCCTAAGATGAATAAAATTGTACCCTATAAGCCTATTGTAGAATGTCATCAAAAAAGACAAGAAATCTAATAACAAAAGGTCTGAATACATGAGTCATAATTTTTAGGAAAATAACATGCGCATTTGTTAGCTCAAATGGCGAACCAAACACACATATAAACAATCCATTATATTATAAAAGTTTGCCCTCCATCCTATCCATGCATGTGAACCTAAAGATAAAATTTCAAAAATCAATCTTCGAAAAGACCAATGTACATGTATAACAAGTTATCAAGCCAACAAATAGGAAACATCTATTTTATAGTTAATAATTTTATTAATAATGTGACTGTCCAACAATATGCATCAATCAATCCTACATTGTAGTAAAAAAGGATTAGAACTAAGCAAAGGATTAAAGATGATCAAGAAAGAACATCAATATTGTGTTGTATGCTACTAGCTAGGTAAATTATTAGGACCTAGATCTTCAAAATAAAAAAACTTAGCTAAAATCCTAACATAGGACCACTAAAACAACCAACCACATAGAACTAAAACTTTATAGTCAATGGTTCAGTTGCCCCACATCAATAATTGAGCTACAATGTTCATGACTTAGTCATCCACCATAGTTGAATGCAAGTCCATAAACTTAATCATCCATCATGGACTTGCAGGAGACAACAGTTGCTATCTTATCCTCTTGACAATCCTTTCTCATTATGTCCCTCAGATGCCCAATTGTGCCTAGGGGATTCAAACTTGCCACCCATGCTCTAATTCTAAACTGACATAGGACCACTTAGCATAACCAACTAGTCTAAAAGCTCAAACATATAGAAGTGATATAACTAAAGCATTATAGCCAATGGTATAGTCACCCTAGATCAACAGATGTGAAACACCTATAACTCATTCATCAACAATAATTGAATACAGATCCATAACTCAATCATCCATCGTGAACTTGTAGAAGATATAACAACTATTATCCTATGCTTTTGATAACCATGTGTCAAATCCTCTACAACAACCTAAGGATAAATAAACCCTTCAAGCCTCTCAAGATGAAATTCCTATTACCTCAATATATTACACAGCTTTCTATACAATATAAGTGAACTAAACCGCTTAATTGAGCTAACAAGAATATTGTTAGGTTAGAAAGGATTCAGAGCCATCTTTTTACTTTTTTATTTGAAGTCATGTACTAAACTTACCAAGTCACATAAAGATAAAATCACTAAGATCATCAAATAAAGCATGTGCAAAATCTAAAGGCAAAAATAAAGATACAAGCATAGCTGAATGCAAGTCCAAATAAAGATATTGTTCTTTGTTAAAGCACATTCAACAAGCCAAAATAGCTAGACAAAGTGAAAGAATAAAACAAGAATGAGATCAAGAACCCAAAAGGAAAACTAGAAGTCATAACTAAAAGGTGGCATCAGAATTATTATTATACTTGCAAGCATGTCATAAAAAACTTAACTAGACCAGCATCAATGACGGCTATTAAGGACATAGAGTTAAAAAGCCTGGAAGAATATTAAAGTTAATTCATCGCAACATATGCAGCAACCCCTTGACATTGCAAATAACTGTGATAAATTTGTCAAAAGAAAAAAATACACTCAACAACATTATTTTCTTTAGGTTAATAAGAAGAAAGTAGACCAAGTATGCACATTTAAAAAGAAAGTTTGAAGTTGAGCAAATGATCCGAGCCTTGGAACACATTAGCCTTTGTAAATTTATTCTCAGTTTAGATCTATCAAAACCAATCGTGGGATCATAAGTCATGGCTAAGTTAGCAAAAGCATTGTGGAATCACATTTATGCATCAGGTTTTTGAACAAAAACAAACATCCTAGCAGACTAAAAGAAGAAAGCCACCAAACCTATCATATAACCAGGAGAAAGGCTGCTTTTCCCAAATGGTCTAACCAAAAGAATCAGAAAGGTTGGGTAAAGTTTTTCTAAGACATAGGCCGTTCCAAAATTCAATCCAACATAAAATAGAAGTATAAATATTAAAGCTCACAATTCACACCCAGTGTTGGACATATTTTTCCATTTCACACTTCTCAACTCACATAAAGGCTCATTGAGACATCCACTCATCTAACATTTGGTTGTCAATTTCCAGCAGATAGAAAGGTATCACCTTCCCATTCTTAAGAAACTCCCTCCATCCTGGCACTACATGTTTTCTTCAACGATTCCAAGCCTAGAATTCTATCCATCCAATTCATTTCAGTGCATATTGAAATTTAAAAGTTCTCTTAGCTCGATTAACAAAAGATAAACTTCATAAATTACTAAAAAAAAATTAACCTAATAGCAAAAAAAATGAACAACTATCAAAAAAATAATATTTTCTTATTCAGTAAGCAAACACCCCATACTTTTCATTAACGCTGACGACATTTGACAACTTGCCAATGAATCCATCCAAGAAGAATTCACCACAGATCCTCTCGCTGGCCTCCCTTCCTCCAAATCAAAAGTTCCACTCCATCCTCCAACATAGCCCTTATAACTCGACAAATTCTCCAAAGTACCGTCCACAGAATCACGTGCTGGTGTATAATAAGGATAATACCGAGTTGCTTCCCCCGCGCCTAATCCAGAATTGAGATTGGTCAATCTCGATGCTCCCGAAGAAGAGGAGGACCAAACCGAGTCTCCCGTGGGAACGATGTAGGGAGATTTAGCAACTGTGGGTGGAGGTGGAGGTGGAGGGAGAGAATTAGGGATTGCGGCGGCGGAAACCCATCGATCGACGGTGAAAGGAGGAGCTAACGGAGAAAGGGTAGAGGATGACGAAGAAGGGGGCGGGGGCGGAGGTGGATGGTGGCAGCGGTCACCGGATCTTCCGATTCCGGTGAGGTGAATCATGGTCGTTTTCGAGCGATGATCAATGGTAAAAAGTTAGACAAAAACGGAAGAAGAGCGATCGGTGGTGCGTCTCCGTGGGGAGACCTGCAGACTACTTTTACGCTCCGTTTTGGGGGAAAATTATTAGTTCCCGGATAGGGTGCAATGAAGTCAAAAGCCTATTCGTGGGTTGAGTTTGAGCAGAATTTCCATATTGGACTATTATTGAGCTCGAGTTCAATACATATCTTGTCCCGGCTCTGAGTGCTCGTCGAGCCGGACTGATTAGAAGACGAAATCATGGTCCCGTGGACGGATTTGTGAAATTTGAGTTTCGATGTAGAGTGAAGCGGCGGGAGTGCGGGACTGTAGGAATTCTAGATCAAGCGAATGATGAACCGGGACCGACAACAAATAAACAACATATTCTAAATTTCAGCAGAGTGAAGAGCCGATCTATTTGTGAGGAGCTGTGGTCCATGGAGTGCGGCGTTCAATCGAGCTAGGGCATGTCTTCTTCGTCTGTCATTCTTGCAGTGCTCAAGCAAGAGGCATGAGTCGGTTGGTAGAAAGAAAGTTCTAAGATCTTATTAGGAGTTTTATTCTTCATTTTTTTATGTTTAATTTTTAGTTTTCTTTTTTTTTTTGGGCTGAAGTTCTTCTGATGTTGTAGCAGGAAAGGCTTGACGAGTTGGCATTTAGAGATGTCTGAAGTTCTTCTGGTGTTTCTGTATCTATATAATTCGAGGAAGAGTAACAAACCATTCCAAAAGAATTTCTTCCCAATTTCCTTGCTACCAGCAATCGTTAGCTTTCTTTTCTTTGTTGGAATTCTTGGGATGGCATTGAATCCATGGGATGGTGTAGTTATTTTTCATTTTCTATGCATCTTTCTCTATTGGAATGTGTTGAGAGAGTTGCTACTTAGCTTTGCATGTTTTACACTCTTGCAACTTGTATCTTTTTGATGATTCCAAATATTATTGTTTTGATTATTATTTTCTCTTAACACATTTTGGAATATTTGTTTTTGCTCTTGTGTGTACTAACATTTCAGGAAAATCATACTCCAGATTATTGAATACTTCAAATCAAAATCTGCTTAGAATGTTTTGTAACATTGGAGTCTGTATTTTTTCATTTTATTTGAGTCTGAGAGAGTGTGATTGTAATTGAGTAACTTAGCACACACACACTGATTGAGAGATTTAAAATTCACAATTTTTAAAACTAATCGTACAGTACGAACCATGTTCATACGGGACGATCTGGTCAGTTATACTCCCAAATGAGCAATTGAACGAACATAGCTGGCAAAAATTTTCTAAGTATAGATCATCAAGATGATTTTACCCATTTGTCCCAGAATGATGTCCTCTGGATTTGTCATTTGAACTATTCATCCAGATGATTTTACCCATTCGTCCTAGGATGATGTCCTCTGGATTTGTCATTTACACTATTCTTCCATACGATTTTACCCATTTGTCCCATGACGATGTCCTATGTTCTGTAAACTTATAGTCCGTCCTGCATTTTCGTATCAACGAGCCTTGGGAATAACTGTTCGTACTGGACGAACCCAGTTCGTACGGGACGATAATAGGGTACAAAGGCATTTCGTACTGATTCATTTTGAGATCGTGCGCAACAGTTTTTATACTGTTCGTACATACAAATTATGATCGTACGGACGATCGTGAACGTACAAATTTGAATAATTACAATTCTTGAACAGTTTTTTGTGTCTTTCTATAAAAGGTCCACTTAAAACTGTCTTGCAATCTTTTTGTCATTTGGTCTTTGTGCATACTTAAGGGAATTTGAAGGAGAGAGTGAGAGAGAGTGTTTGAAGGAGATTTCTTACTACTGGAGGATGAAGGGTTCACTTGGTTACTCATAGATAAGGATCTCTGTGTGTAATTTGTGATTACTTCATTCTTTTCTCTTGTCCTTCTAGATTTCTCGTGAGAAGATCTTTCAAGAATATCTGGTTCTCTGCCGACACTCGAGGAGTGTGAATAGCGGAAGGTTCTATACCTACACTTGCAGAGTGTGAACAGCGAAAGGTTCTCTTCCTACACTTGGAGAGTGTGAACAGCGGAAGCTACTCTGCCTACACTTGGAGAGTGTGAACAACGAAAGGTTCTCTACCTACACTTGGAGAGTGTAAAAGGACGAAGGTTCTCTGCCTATACTTGGAGAGTGTGAACAGCGGAAGGTTCTCTGCCTACACATAGAGAGTGTGAACAGTGGAAGGTACTCTGTCTGCACTTGTAGGGTGTAAAAGGATGACAGTTCTCTACCGCACCGGGTAGTGGTGGAAGAGAGTTTTTATGAAGGCTTCTCCGCCTTGCTGTGAGGGCAAAAGGAGAGAGACTAGTGGTAATAGTGCAATACTTGAAGTGAGAAACTTCAGGGAGTGGATGTAGGTCATGTTTGACCGAACCACTATAAATCTTGTGTCTTTTATTTTCCGCTACTTCTTATTTTTTTGTCTAGCTATTATCTATGGTTGAAAAATACTTTTTTAAAATTACTAAAAAATTCCATTGGTTTTTTACTTTCAAATTTAAATTAAGAGAAGAATTTTTAAAATTACCAATTCACCCCCCTCTTTGTTAGCCGTTGAGACAAAAGCTTAGGTATAATAACCTAACTCATATTTAACAAGTTTCAACAGAATGCATATGCATTATTATGCTCAGGATGAGTGAGGACGGAGGTCGACTATGCTGTTTAGGACAACAGAGGTCGTGACTATTATCGTCGATGATGGTGCTAAGGAGGGCGACGATGGTACTCAGGACAATGGAAGAGGACGACGCTGCTCGAGATGACGAAGGTCGTGATTGTTAGCCTTCTCGTGACTGAGTTCGACGAGCTGCTCGATGTGAAATAAGTCGAGCTCGAGCTCGATATTTGGCAGTCGAGCTCGACTTGAACACCCCCTGGCTCGAGCTTGACTCGACTCATTTGCACCCCTAGGTCCGGACACGGTACCTATCTCTGCATTCATACGCCAATAAAAAGTGGTCATATTGATGTATACATGTGGAATTTTTTTAATATAATCTTTTAATTTAATATATATCAGCCCAAGCCGACCCGACCTGGTCCACTATTTTCTCATTTTAAACGTAGGGTTGGCGCTATTTTAGAAACCTATGGAAGATCTAAATATTTATTGATTTTGAAGAAAAAACGAGCTAGAAAATTACATAAAATATATGGAATGCTCTCGGAAGAAAGAGGGGGAAGGGGTGCATGAATCTGAAGGGATACATGAATCAGAAGTTAACTTAGCTGGAAATTTCTCAGGTTTCAACATATCGATAAGTTTCAATCTCATCGCAAGTTGTATTAAGAAAAAGCGAGCTAGAAAGTTGTAAACAAAGTTGTGTAGAAGCACTTTTGTTGCGCTTTTATTGTAGTTTAGGTGTGCTTTTGTTGTGATTTGGGTGCTCTTATGTTACGCTTTGGTTGTGCTTTATTTTGCTATTCATAAATTAAAATTTATAAATGTTCAAATGTACAAAAAATACAAAATAAACAAAAATTATATATTAACATTTAAAAACTAAAATGTTCAGATTTACAACTTATGTACAAAATTTACAATTTTTTTACAATAATTTTACTCTTTTGTACTAAGAAAAGAAAATATCATAACTCTGTCCTAAATTTTGGCATATAGTTTTGCCAATCTTTATAAGAAGCTCAATCCACTTTCCTTCGTAGAACGGCTTTTTTCATGTATTTACACATGAACATTTAACAGTCAACATCGTTTGATTGAGTTGGAATTTCACGAACAGTTTGTAAATTCTATTTTGTTATATAGCTTGTAAAGGATCCTTTAGTGTCTTCATGCAAGACATTTATCTGAATAAATAAAATTATTACTTTATTTTTTATTTATATTGAGAAAAAAAAATAAGATGCTTAAAATCTAGCTTTAACTTACAACTTTATAACATATATCCTTGTATTCTGGATTTGGTAAGGAATCATATAATTTATATACTTTCTCTTTCAACTTGCCTATAATAAGTATCTAATGTTTATTGAAAATTATGGGTTAAACAATAAGACTATTTTCTTTAACAGAATCTGAATTAATGTGTGGGATGAATATTTTGAAATCTTGATTGTAATCCCTTTATACCTGCAATAAGTTTGCAATATAAGAAAATTAATGTGATAAATAGACTATAAATAATAATTAATTATACTTATCATGTATAATGGAGAAATGTATAAGTTGCGTTAAAATTTCTCTGTCATTAGCATACTCTTCTCTAATAACAAACAAGCAAAAGCTTCTACATGGTTGTCGTCGAACCATTGATTTGTGAGCAGATCGTCAATATATGCTTTGTTTATTATTATGTTACCAGAAGCAAATATTATGTCATCCCTACAAAAAAGAAAAAAAATTAAAGTGCAACATAAGCGTAATAAAAGTATAACTAATGCGCACACATAGCACAATGAAAGTGCATCTAAAGCGCACATATAGCACAATAAAAATACATCCAAAATACAACTCAAGCGCAGCTAAAACACATCCAAAGTGTAATATAAGCGCACATATAGCGCACACATAGAGCGCATAAAGAGCACAATAAAGCATAAATGATTGAACTTACTTTTTATCAAACTTTCTGAAACATTCATCCATAAGACTTTGATGCTTAGTAGTTAGGAACCACTTCAATGGATATTTCATTAAATGTTGTGCAGGTCGAGGTTCAATTTTTATATTGTCAACAAAAATAACCTTTTCGGTCTTCATTAGTATCTTCGGTCTTTTAGTTTTTTATTATCATCTTTTTTTATTTTTTTATTTTTGTGGTTATTATTAGATGATCTGCTTGGAAGTACCCTATAATGACTGAACTTTTGATGTGCTTAGTGGTTGAATAATATATGTATTAGCTGCTGGTGTTGGAGGAACATCTGTTGTGGGTGGTGGTGGAGAAAAATCTTTATTGGGTGATGGTGGAGTAAAATCTTTAGTGGGTGATTGTAGAGGAAAATTTTTACTGGGTGGTGGTGGAGGAAAAGCTATAGTTCTAATTTTTTTACTTATTGGATAGTTGAGGAAGATGTAGATATAGAATGTCTATCAGGATTATATTCACATTTGGTTAGATGGTCAATGAA